AACACCCTGTCTCAGGGCAGGAATAATGACAATGGCTCCTGAATGGTTAAAAAATGCTTTATTCAACATTTGGCTTAAAATACAAGTATGGCCAATTTTGGAGTAGCAGATGTTTTGATTAAAAAGCTTATAATCTAACAACGAGGTAAGACAAAAAACACCGAACAACAAAGTCTTAACAATGAAGTAAGAGGAAGAGAAGAAATGGAAAAGAGAAAGAAAGGAGAAAGAATGAGGAAAGGTAAATATCACCACCCTTGGATCCACCAAAGAGTAGTTGTCTGGTTTCCTCCAGCAGCAGGTGTGGACCTGGGGCTGCTCTCCCCCTCTTCTTAGAACCTTGTCAGAGAACCCCTGTGCATGAGTTCTAGGGTTTTCACAAAAGTTTTTCAGGGGAAATGGAGGGGTTGTCATGGGTGGCCTGCCACCCCATGACATATCCAACTGGTATGCACCCTTTGTTCTGGGCATACTTTGTGAGCCTTGGTTATACCACCTTTATGTTTCAGAACTGGTGGTGAAATATCTGCTACACAACCCTCAGAAAACTTCCCAGAAACAATTCACTACCCCACCTCTGCAAAGCATGTCCTGTTTCAGCTGCTCGTGGTCATCTGTCTTGTTTTTTTGGGACAAAATTGTCCAAAATTTTACCAGTCTCTCACAAGGTGCATCAGCAAAACAAGGAAAAATGAGCTTGCAAAGAAGTTAATTGCTGCAGAGTTCTGCATGGAAATGAATGAGCTCTGCTGGTCTGGGCAAGATCTCTGTTGCACAAGAGAGCCCTTGAAGTTTTGACTTCTGCCCTGTTTACTTTGCTAGTGCTGGGTTTTAGTACTCCTGGTGACTTTCTCAGCTCAAGCTCTGCATCTGTAATCAGCTTCACAGAGATTTTTGGGATACGCTGTGTGATCCTTGCAGGGTATAATTTAGAGTGGGCTTCTGCAATGCTGGCTGGGATGTGCTGCATCTCCTTCCTACAACAGCTTGCTTCACCTCTTGCAGCAACAGCAAATTGCCTGCAGAACTCAGAGCCTGTTGCTCAGCCCATCAGCACAGCTCCATGCAGTGCCCAGGGTCCAACACTGCAGGGTCCTTCTGGAAGAGCTCAGCAGCACAGCTCTCTACCAAAAGGACCTTCCCCTCCCAAGTCTGCCAGCTGCACACCAGGAGTGAGCAGGGATCGTGGACAAGTTTTCTTGCTGGTGGATGACACCAGGTTCAGATTATATTTAGCACTCAATTCAACAGTAGCTTGTTTTTTATAAAGCCATAACAATGCAATAGGTTTAGAAACTGAATGACAGCTTGTAGGTTTCAGAGTTAACACAGAGCCTGAGGTACCTGTGCCCTAAGAGCTGCTACTGGGATTTGTGGCAGTCTCCAGTACAACGTGACAGCCATGCAGCTGGCCCTGCAGAGCTGCTCTTCTGAGCCAGGGGAGAACAGCTGAGAAAATCTGGGGTTTGTTTTTTTATGTTTGAAAACCCAAACAAACCAAACGCTTCAGTTCTTTTTCTGAAATGCAATTGTCAGAACAAGGCAGAGATTCTGCAGGACAACCCAGCTCCCTGCTTGCTCTGAGGTGAGGGATGCAGGTCCTTCCAGCAAGCTATTTTATTGTGAAAAGATGTTCAAAAACAGGCAAGAAAAGAGAGGGGAGGGAAGCCTTGAACTAGCTGAGTAAAATCCCAGAATGAAAAGGTCCAGACAGCATAGTGTGCAAACCAGAAATCCAGCACAGGTCTCTGCTGCCATGGGGTGGTGTAGAGAAGGATGAAGTCCAAAGGGTGAGGAAGGCAGTATTTTAATCCCTAGGAAACACAGCAAGTCAGTGCCCTCATCTGATACAAAATAGAACAAAATAATAGCACTCAAATGACTTGATACACAGGCATGACTTACTGTAATACAGAAAACACGATTTGCAGCTGGAGAAAAAATTTACTCAGTATAACTCACGTGAGCTCTGACCCTTTAGGACTTTCTGAGCACTAATGCATTATTTATAGAAATCATGATATACACTTTAAATTCAGTCCTAGAAAATGAAGCAGATGAGGCCAGTAGCACCAGCACCACCTACCAACTTTCTTATCACACAGATAGGCATGAGAACTGTGGTTTTACTGCATACATCATTCCTTTGTCTCCAGTTGCAGCCCATCAAGATGGAAAATCATCACCACACAAGAAGAGGATTTAGATGCAGGGGAAGGACTACAAACTAGGTATGGGGCAACCCATGTGGTAATTCATTGCCCAGAGAAACCACCATCACCAAAGGTGCCTTTTCTTGACCTTATAGCTGGAAGAACCTATGATCACCCACAGGTTTCCCAGATAGGGCCCTCAATGGTCTCTTATCTAGAAGCATGCTTTGTTCAATTACTCCAGCATGTACTGCTTTGTTCTGATGAATTTTGGAGCTACTCTGATGTGCAGTAAGGCATCGGAGACTTAATTTCATTATTCATCTCAATATGTTCCTGTTGTATTCAGAGAACAGACTATGGGCCCTCCTGTGGCTAATTTAGCACCTGCAAATCCCCATGCTTAAAGCCAAAGGCTGAATAACCTGCTGAATGAAATTGCAGGAACTATCCACAGGTGAAATAATTAATGCTGGGAAGACTCTTCTTTTCCTTTATAAACTTTATACACACTCTTCTGTCTCAAAAGGAGACCATCATGTTCTCATTCTCCAAGACCAGGCTGTATTTCACTTTTTTTTTCCTTTTTAATATCTTTTATTCATTTTGATAAAACCTGAGCAGAGTTTGAGGGAAAGCAATGTACCTGGAGGAGCTGGGCCACCCTCAGGCTGGAGCTGTTAAGGGCTACCTCCTCAGATGACATGGAACATCCACTTCAGTTACCAAGGTAGCACAGGCTATCTATGCTAAAGTACTTATGAACTTTCTAACGAAGGCTTTTTGAGTTAAACCACTACTCTGCACTGATGTGGATGAAGATGGCTCAAAACCCCACCCTACTCTTTTCAGCACAAATGCAGCAGGTTCTAGAAGTCTGAAATAAGTATTTAAGTGCAGTAATATTGAAGACTTTTTTTTGTCTGAATTTGCCTTCCCTGAATCAGATTCAAGTTTTAGAATGGCTCAGCCTTACCAGCCCTGCTTACTGTTTGCACCCTTTCAGATGCTTCAGAGCTCAGTCATCATTACTGCAGATAACCAAGACACAACAGGAACTAACATGTTTACCCTGCCCCCTCCACATTTTGTTTCAAATTACAAAATTCAGCATCATGGAAGATGATGATAATAAGATTCTGTACCTTAAGTCACATAACCATAGCATATGCTTATGCCATTTTCTTGGCACAATAGAAGATTTTGTTTCTTTGAGTGTTTAATCCAAGCTGGATACCCCTCTAAAAAATCATCTCTAAATTCAGTTTAGGATTTTTTTGTTGTTGTTTTAAACCACTGAGTATGCATGACTGAATATTTGTTATGCAACCATAACAACTGTCCTTTTAAAAAAAATAATTCCTGCATAATGTGAATACAGAGAATCCAAGGCAAACATGACTTGATCTTAAAACTTTAATAGTAAAAAAAGTGTAAAACCAAACACACTGCTGAAAACTTATCAGTAAGAATGAGAATTTAAGTGTTCAAATTCAGAATAGTGCAAATTTTCTTTACTTCCCCCCCTGCCTTTTCCAAACAAATCACTTTGGTCAAGATACTCAGAAATATTGGCAAAATATGAACTTTTTGACTTACATTTTTGGCTGCATTATTTCTAACACATACAGTTTTAGTTTCACTCTTTACAAAAAAAAATACTTGTCTACCAGTCAAACAGCTGTAGAGATCACTGTCACCTCTAACTTACATCTGGTTTTATAACTTTTTGAAATTGGTTTCAAGATGATTACAAAACTGTCTCCCCAGCAGGTAGCATATTTTAGAAGAGCTGAGCTGATCCAGTCCTGATCTGAGGACCTAATTTCTTCAAGTAGTCCTACAAAATGTGATTATTTAGGTTTTAAACATTTGAGGAAGGATCTCATACCAATTAAATGACTCAATTTACACCAAACTAAGATTAGAATTGTGGTCTGGTCTGTAATACAGACTTCATGCTAAACTTTTCCTGCTACAAAAAAAAAGCACAAGCAGCAGTTACAGCATTGCCTTAGAAGAGTGAAAACAGCCAGAACTCTGCTACCTTCCCTCAATATCATTTTGATGGGTAAGTCTTTAGCTGATGCCTCTAACTGTATCTGAAGCCATGTGAGATTGGAAATTAACACAAAAAATAATAATAATTGCATAATACAAAAAGGCAAATCCATAAAAGTTTACAAGTACACCATAACCACAAAATTGGAGTAGTTCTAAAAATTTGGGTTCAATGAAAGATACAACAAAACTAGCTTTACTAGTTAAATAAATTATTGCTCCATTTGACTCCATGCAGCATTGAAATGAACTCAGAACCTTTTTCTCTTTAATCTCTCATCAGAAATGTTTGATTGAAGAGAACATGAGGCTCAGATTTACTGTACATTGCACTTCAACTTTAAGACCTAATACTTGCTATTTAGGTCTCCTGTGGTCTAAGCTATCAAATGAATACGTTGTGCTCACCAGAACTAAGTATTAAGAAACACCAAATGTTTAATGTAGTGACATAAGCACTTTTTTTTTTTTTAAAGAAGGCAATCACAGATTGCAAGTTCTATAGGGTTGTGAAAAAAACAAGTAGTGATCTCTGTCAGAAACTGAACTGAGAAAAAGAGCTGTTTGCTATTCTTTACATACAGTTTAAATCACATTTTAGGCCTGCTTCTGCTGCCAATCCTTTCAGTCAAAATCCCAACTCAAACAGAAGCAAGATCAAAGACACCTCAAGGAGGAAACTGCAGATCTAGGGAGCCTGGGGCACGTACTCCATGGCCAAGCAATGGCCTGCAACACACATTTTTTCAGTGACACCAGACACCCAAGACCTCCTTCAGTGAGATCCTGAAGCAGGTGTCTTGATATTAAGCAGGAATACTCACACACTTCAAGATTTCTTATTGACTGGAGCCAGAACTTGAGTCTTGCCAATCTGCCTGAAAGCTTCAGAAGTAATGAAACTTCCAGTCAGAATTTCCTAGGAAAGTTGACGTTAGAACAAGATTGTCTTCTGTGTTCACCTATTGTACTGAAATAATTTAGAAACCCCCACCTAGGTGACTTCCAACTTTTCAACCCTCCAGCCTTCTCCATTGTGAAAGACAGAAACTTAATGCAGCATTACCAGTAAGGGCATGATTCCTTCATAAGACTCCTAAAAGCATTAGTGCAATGCCTTTAACCTGTTTTGATCACTCTTATTTTTAAATAACCCTATTTTTAAAAAAGATTTGGATAAATACTATTCCTATTAAACCATACTTCATCATTGTTAAGCACCATCAATCTACTTCCTTTGGGCACTGATACAAGAGCTTGTAATTAAATTTCAGTTTCAAGGCTTTAAAGTATGGCAGCTGCTTCAATAACTTAGACTGGAATCTAATACTTGGAAAACTGCCACTTAGCCTGAACAGTTGTATGCAACTTGGGTGTTAAACTCTTCCAGAGAACAGCCATATGCAAATGCTTATGTGGTAAATCAGGGTGAGATTTCAAGATAAGCAGTTAATTTCACTTGGCTATTCTAAGAGTGGATTAATATTTTTTTTCCACAAGTAATTTGTGCAGTGAGCCCATAAAGAGATTATTTTGTTTTCTAAATAATCTTCAATTTATAACAGGAACACATCTTTGTAAAGTTGCTTTCACACTGGCACTGTGCTCTCTTCTTTGAAGATTTAGTCATTGTGTGGTTTCTCTGGAATACCCTATGGATAAAAAAAACCAACAAAAAATACATGTTATCATTTAATACCATCTGATAAGTGAGTACATTATGCAGTATTTTCAATTATTACATAGTTCACTATCTTCAGTTAGGCTACAACAAACAAATGGCTTATTATAAAAGCTCAACAAGGATGTGCTCCTTAGATGTGGGATTAAAAAGTCACTATGGGTCTGTGCTGCCTCCATTAGTGCATCTGATCAATCCATCTACCCAACTGCACTGCTTTTGATAAGACTTTGTTAGCTTTCCTCCCTATCTCAGTTAATTTCTTAGCAGAAGGTGCACAGTGCTTCACTTAATGAGCATTAATTAATCTTTTAACAGCCATCTTTCAAACTGTCTTCAGGAGCAAGTTACTTTATTTTCCAATGAAAGCCTGGTACCTGACAGACTTACCCATTTCCTCCTAAGTCCCTTTTCCAGTATGGCTGGATGGGGCTATGAGCAACCTGGTCTAGAGGGAGCTGTCCCTGCCCATGCAAAGGGGTTGGAACTAGATGCTTTTTAAGGTCCTTTCCAATTCAAACCATTGAACGATTCCATGAAACTCCATAGTATGTTAGTGTAAGAAATTTAACCATCTTCTGTTTTAAAGAATGTTTTTGCAAGTACTGAATGTGTTGATAGCTCTGCAGCCTCAAGCACTAACAAACAATAGATATCTGTGAGGTCCAAGTTGTGAATACCTTTGCCAGAAGTTGAGAATGATGGCTACAGCTCAAAATGAAGTGTTGCCATCCATTTAGCCCAGCTGATGAGTTTAGGTGTCATAATGAGCAGTGAGAGCTGATGGTGGCAGCAGCACCTTCACCTTTTATTTTCAAATCAAGGTATTAAAGAAAATGTTGGATTTCATCCTCTAGCTGATAGCAAAAAAAAACAACAAAACAAACCAAACACAACCACAAACAAAACCCAAACCCCTCTGCTAACAGCAGGTTTGTTTAAAGGTAGCACTGGATTTGGTTACTGCATGTGACCATGTAGAAGCCTTCCAGTATCTGAAAGAGGCCTACAAGAAAGCTGGGAAGGACTATTTACAAGGGCTTGTAGCAAGAGGACAAGGGGTAATGGATCAAAACTGGAAGAGGGGAGATTTAGATTAGACATTAGGAAGAAATTCTTTACTGTGAGGGTTGTGAGATTCTGGAACAGGTTACCCAGGGAAGCTGTGGCTGACCCATCCCTGGAAGTGTTTGAGGCCAGGTTGGATGGGGCTTTGAGCAACCTGGTCTAGTGGGAGGTGTCCCTGCCAATGCAGAGGGGTTGGAACTAGATGATCTTTAAGGTCTCTTCCAACCCAAACCATTCTGTGATTCTATGTAAGGTCACTTGAAATCAAGTGACTGAAAAGCAATAAGCACCTCCAAGCTAAGGTATTTCAGGATGTGCAGGGATGTCTCAGGGACACTTCTAATTCTAATTTATTTTCTAACTGCAAAAGTTAGGCAGGGGCTGAGGAAAAAGCAAGGCAACTTGACTCCACTGTAGTATCTTCCACAGGTGCCACCATCTGCTCTGGACATGTCCAGAAAATACCTACTGTTTGATCTGCAACGTATGCAGCCAAACAGCTCAGGGACTACAGAGGAACACAGCTACAAAAATAACTGCTGTATTGGGGTTTAGTTTTGTTTTATTTTTTAAAAAAAGCAATATTCCATCTTTTTGCCACACTGCAAATGGCTGACAAGACAGACTGATGCTTTTGGGTGAGAAAACCTGATAGACTGAATGCTACCATTCTGTATTGGAAGTGGAATTCTTTGAATTTCCAGCACTGAATGCTTCACAGTGACTTGCAGAAATGGTCCTACAAAAATGCTGGGCTTCTCCAAGTTTTTCCAGACTAAGTAATGGCAGTGAAAACATGTGAGAGGATACTTCTAGATAACCAAGGAACACTTCGCCTTGCCAATTTCCCTCTTTCTTCGTAAGGAATAAGACAAGATAGGCAGGAAAGCTGCAGGTGGGAGCCAGTCTGATTTTAACTACATTCAGGTGAGATGTTCGGTGAAAAGAAATCAAAGGAAAAAAAGTCCTATGTGCCCAAATTTATCTTAGCTCTTTCTTCAAGGCTCCTTTGCTTTCTAACACAAGCAACACAACGACTAGATGTAGTGTACATGCCAATGTGAAATGCAGAACTGCAGCATATAACTGACTAGAATTTCATCCTGAGACTTTGCTTGCAATAGCAAAGCTTAAATAAAACTATATTAATGTAGCTTTCTCACCTAATGTGAGTGGCAAATTTCAAGAGAGAAATTATACCTTCTCTTCCCCCAATACATGTGGTCCCAAGAAAAACACCACTCAGATAACATGCATCACTGAGATGTGAAGGAGGGAGCACTGAGCTTGTACTTTAGAGAACCTCAGAGGAAACCAAAACTGACCGTGAGGTTAAGATTCTGACCACAGTTCCAGGAAATCTGTAACTTGGTCTCAAGCTAGCATAAGAGAAAAACTTCAAGAATAGGAATTGATTTGACCCATGTTTTTGTTTTGTTTTAAACAGCCTTTTCTAAAAGAGGTTATTGTTAATTTATTGTAACTGAGAACCCTCTATACAAAAGAAAATAGTCTTTAATCTTAGCCAGTGGTGGTCAAGCAACCCAGCTCTCTTCCCCAGCTTATTTGCAAGCCTGTCCATCTGCAGCACCAGGTTCAGACTGTCCACATTAGAAGTACATTAGCATTCACCCACTGGGTTAGCAAAGCTAGGCAGAAGAGACAGAAAGCCTGTTCCAGGCAAAACATTAGCTTCAGACTAATCTTCTTACTCACTCCTGCTTCAGTCCCCAAAAGCAGGTCTCCTCCTTACTGAACAGTTCAGAGACTAATATTTCAGGAACTATCAAGTCTATAAATGCTCTCCTGTCAGTAAAAATTAAAGGCACATAAGCCACAGCAGCCTTAGAGAAGCAAAATACTTTCCAGGATAAAGGACTTATGTAGCAAAGAAGGCAGAAGTGAAATCAATACAGTATTAATTATTACTATCCATCACTGTCAGAACACTTCACAACAAAGCCTGATGTGCAAGCATACAGCTGGGTTTACTCTTAAGTATGCTGCAAGGAAATGATTACTTAAAAACCTAGCAAATGAGATAATTTATATTCTATTATCCCATATATGGAGTGATACTTGAACTACATCTTAAGTGACCAGAAAGGGTGTATTTGATTCTAGAGTGGTGAAATTTAATGCTATATAGGGTCATTTCCTTCCATCTACATAAGAAGAATGCTTTACTCCATATGTAATTAGAGAAAGCCCATCTGTGTCTCAGTTCTCTAGCTACCTTAGCTACTAATTCAAAGTACTGACAGATTAGGGGTGATTAAGATTCTGACCAGAAGTAGCAAACTGACTTGTCTTATTCAGGTGGTGACTGGACAAAGTGAAATACAGAAGATACTCGAACAGACAATTTCTTCTCTACTAGCAACTCAGGTTGTGCACTTGTATTTCAGCTCTTCAGAATACACCTATTTATTTCTGACAATTTGTGAGTCATACCCTTATTACAGGCACAGTTTGTTTTTAGACTAGCAACAATGGAAGGTATTTGGATTTTTAAAGGAAATGCTAATTATGCAGTAATTACCATAGCCAGTTGGCGTCCTATGTTTCCTACAGTCACACCTCCTGAGAAGAATATACATGGAAGCCATGAACGGATGTAAAGAAAATCTGGGGATGTATACCTAGTAAACAAAAGGAATAAGTTAGAGAAGTTATTATCATCACCTTACATACTGTTAGCAAGATGTTACAGAATTTTCTGCCTGAGCCCAAACCAAAAAAACACCCGAGTAACACAGAAGAAACAGGGAGACCAAACCAAGTCTGTTAACTTCATACATTTCTAAAACCCAATGTCCTAGCCAGCCAAGTTTAGGAAGTATCTCTACTGAGAGCCAGTTATTGATATATCAAGCTAGGAAAAGTTCAGTTTGCTGAGCTGCTACCATCTCAACACACATCCCAATTTGTCTGTTTCCCACCCTCCACTCCCACTTCTCAATCTGGTAATTTTGAACAACTGGACAATTAGCTGCCTTAGACAAAACGTCTTATTATAACAACATACCACATGTTAATAACTAACTTCCAGTGCACGTACACACCTGCTTTTAGTAAAGACAAGAGAGTTAGAATACTATTTTAAAACCATAACTTACTGATAAACACCATTATATACAAGAAACTGGGTTATAAGAGTTGCTACAAAGGCTATTGTAATTCCAAGTCCGAGACCACTTCTTGAACGATCGAACGTCCACCAAAGACCCAGAGATAAGGCTGCTAGAGTCAGGGACAGCTGGACGTTGTTTGCAAAATCTAGTTTCTGGAAAAAAGATGTTAAGGATAATCCTTTTAAGTCTGCAGACATCCTCCTGCTGAGACTGAAGCAGGGAGAACTCAAACTGAAAGTGAGCGTGGTTCTGTTTCTCTAAATATAATACATCACAGATCTGGTTTTCAGACCTGTTGAGCAACCTGCCTGTTGCTGACTTTGACTGGAGTGTGAGTGCAAAGGCAACATCAGATTTTGCCACACTGAGCATCTAAATAATATACCATATTGTAATATATTTAAATGTTATGGATTTTTGTCTCAAGCAGCCCCATTATCCCTGGTGATTTAGGTCTTCTGCTCAAACCCTCATTATCCCACACTAAGAACACTCTTACCAAATAGTTCAGCACAGTTCACTAGTTACTTGTGTTAAGTATCAGGTGTAGACAACATACAGATTAAAATAACACAACTTACACTCTTATACTTGCAGTTACACCAAACACACTATGATGTCTACCCCTCCTCCCTCCCAAAGCGCCTCCCAGCTACTTAAGTGAACTGTGTTACCTGTCTTTCACTACTGCAGATCTCTGCCTCTTTCACTACTGCAAAAGTTTGTCTCTGCCAGTAGTGCCATCCTTACCTTTGGAATTCTCCCAGGTATGAATGAGAGAGACTGTTTCATGACAACAGACTAAGCACATCAAGCAACAATGGGCACTAGTTCAAGGATACAGCACTTGCGTGATTGATGCCAACAAACACTGCTATGCATCGCATGACGCTGGCCCACTCTCTCTTGAACTTGTGTGGTTCCCCCAGGTGGCTGTCAATGCAAGGATACAGCAGGCCCACCACAGCTGTAAGAGATGCAACAACTACTGTTACTAACCACTATCAAATGATTCATTCCATGTTACTAAATATTAGTTTGGCAAAGAAGTGCCTGCCAAAGTACCCAGGTGCTTATCACGCTGCTGGAAGCCTGATGAAGGAAAAACAATTATTACCCTCCTGCTTTAGAAATAAAAAAGCAACAAACCACCCCACTCTAAAAAGCAATGTCCTGTTTGAACTTAAAGCTTAGATGTATTACCAGTGTTAAGGTACCCGACTTTAAGCTCCTTTTCTACAATGATAGTATCTCATTTGACATCCTGAGCAGATGTTTGTTTTGTTCCCAAAAAAACAACACCACATAACAAAAAACACAGTGAGGAATGGAATGTGTGTTTATTGCTCACGTGCAGGGCAGACAGTTTTATGATCTTGACTCATCAGCTGTGAGTCAGGCCCTGAATTAAATATTTGCCTGGACTCAGTTTCTTGGCAGAGCTGCTTTCCCTCCTTCTGCTGGGCTGTAAGTCAGCTAGTGCTGCCAAACTAACCAGATGAATTTTGATGCCAAATAGAAGCAGAGATGAATTTAAAGACACACCCACCATCAGCCACATTTATGTCAAGGAAAAAAAAACAACCCATGCTACCAACCAGGCAAAGTTTTTATCCTCATGCAGCACTTTCTCAGCCTTAGCAGCCTGCAAACTGCCTGCAGAAGAAACACACTGGCTAATGTTAGCTCAGTTGCCAGCAGAAACACTAGATGAGTTTCATTCTTCTAAGCCTTGAAACTCCAAATTTTGTCACCAATGCCAGAATTAGACACTTTAACTGTATGGAACATCTGTTTGTTTCTTCTCCTATCCCTTCACCCCCACCCCTACCTCCTGAAAGAAATAACCTCTACTTTAAGAAGGTTACAAGACACACCATTCTCAGAAAAACATGTGACCTTATGCTGAAACAGTTTAATTGTTCTAATGCCATTATCAGGGCTTTTACCTAATGATAACAGCTAAATGCCAAAGTTTAATCCACCTGGGACTATGGGACTCTGAGATCTCTCATTGAAGAACATCTTAAATACTTTTTACTGTGCAGTTTATCATTCATTCATGTTTATGGCTTATCATTCATACTCTCCTACTATGTAAGGTACAAACAGCATGTGACACTATCACTGCATAAAAACAAACAAACATGGAAGACTTGTTTAAAGTATCATAGAATGGTCTGAGTTGGAAGGGACCTTTAAGATCATCTAGTTCCAACCCCCCTTCATGGGCAGGGACACCTCCCCCTGGCCCAGTTTGCTCTAAGCCCCATCCAACCTGGCCCTGAACACCTCCAGGCATCTACAGCATCTCTGGGCAACCTGTTTCAGTGTTTCACCACCCTCACTGTAAAAAATTTCTTCCTAAAATCTAATCTAAACCTACCCTCTTTTAGTTTAAAACCGTTATCCCTTGTCCTATCACTCCACACCCTTGTAAACAATTCCTCTTCAGCTTTCAAGTGTAAATTAAAAAGTACTTTTAATGCAAGTAGAAAAAAATTACAATGGATTTCCTAAGATTTAATGCAATTTTAATGCCCCAACCCTTCACCAAGGCCTTATTTTGCTTTGACAAGGACAGCAGGAAGCTATTAACACTAATGCACCAGGTCAGTGCTGCGACAAGCACAGCAGAGCTGCTGCAGCAGCCAGCACTTCAGTGCGGGTTTAGGGAAGTATTTGGCACTGACACACCTGGAGGCACCTAACGTGATGCTGCAGCTGCCCCGAAAAGGTGCTCTGAGGGACCTCAGGAAGGCTGTAGGGACCCGAGAAATGCTACAGGGGCCTCGGGCAGGCTGTGGGCTCTCTGGGGGGGCTACAGGGATGCTGCAGGTACACC